TAAATAGCTAATGATATCTATCAAAACGCCTGCCATTTGAAATAAATAAATAAATTTATAACAAATGGCAGGCGTTTTGATAGTTATCATTAGCCCTTTAGTTGACTTCGGGCTTCACAGAGGGGAGGAGGAACATTAAAGTGAGAAGAATTCGGGAGGGGGAATAAAAGAGTCATTCACAGATGTAAAAGAGACGGACAGACACAAAGGCTCAGACTGGGTAAGGTGAGTACTGTGAAAGTGGTCGAATATGACATACAGTTTGGGTGATGGTTGTTCGAAGTGAGAAGTCAACTGCCGGTTAATAGACTTTTTACCGTATGAGTATACGTTGCCCAGGGTGCAACACGAGGAGGTAGGTCTATCTCACACCCCGCCTTTAATATATTGGATGAATACTATTTGTTTGCATTGTATAAGTTAGTCCCTTTATTAACTTGAAAAAAAATAGGAAAAGACAAAGTCATATTGATTTTAGATTAACTTTGGGCCATACGCTAAGGTGTAAGTCAACAAAACTATACATTTGAGGTATCCCAACTAGAGTTTTGAAGATGGAAGGTTTCATCATTGACTTTGCGTTTTGCCAATGTCATTCCAAACATTTCAGGAGATAGTTAAAGTACCATATGACGACTGTGGTAACTTTTGTAGACTGCCTATATTTAGATTTATACCAATTATGGGCAAATATCTTTGGGATTGGAGAGCTTATTTAGGAAATATTAATATTATCGGCCATATTTAGGTCACTCTGAATTCCTAGATGTCTAGGGGCTTGCATGAATCATTTGAACTTTAGTTAGGACTACACTACTTCAGTGCATTTCAGCGCCAAACGGCGCACATAACAAATAGCCATGTAAACAAAGTTAGCACATATGACTCATTTCTACTTTATGTAAATCACAACGGCACTTCTCCAATAACAACATTTACGAGCACTATCGTCTCTCTCTATCTCTCGTTCCTCTCCCTTCACTTCAGGCCCAAGTTAAAACGTGGACAAGAGGCACAGAAAAAGGAGACTGAGGAGTGAAAACAACAACTTTTTCCCTCACACTCACTCACCAGCTGTATCATTTGGCCTTGTTTCTGTGACAAGGTCAGTTATACACACACACGCACACACACCCCGCGCACACGGGCTCGTGAGTCAAATTACCGGGTTAGTGGACATCACCAAAGTGTTTCCGATTGTGGATATTCGTTTCCAATTTTTTTTCATGTGACAGATTCGGGGGAGTGACTGGCAGTGCCCATAATTATTTCGCTTATTTTCGCTCATTTTTTGCCTCTATTTTGTCCATTTCTCGCCTCTTCAGTCAATAAACGACTTGTGTGGCATTTCTATACCGCCATTCTCCCTTGCCGTCAATTTTCGATGAGATGGTCGGGCAGAATAGGCAGATCTCCCATCACTTTAAAGGTCAAACGTAACCATGCTGAAACTATGTTTACGATGCAGTACAGTACCACTAATAAGAGGTCTCCTCTGGAAATAGCTTCCTCTTTTGCACCGAACTCCGCTTATGAAGTGTATTTTTGGAGCGATAATATATATCAAAGAAGGTTGGTCGAACCATTTCAGACCAGTTGTATTTAAATTCCAGAGCCAAGACATTGGTTTACAAATATATATATATATATACATAATTAAATTGAGTCATTGTTTTTATAGGCATTTGGAAGTTCGTAACCAGAAGTTAAGGAAACATTCGTCCAAAATCAGGAACCAGAGAAAAATTCCTATTGTTGTCCACCAACTAGAACAATTTTACTTTCTTAGTCATCATACCTACCATCTGAAGGTCACTTCTTGAAACGAGATGTCCCTAACTCACTTATATTTGGCACAGAGCATTGAAAATTGCCCTGAATTGTTTAAAAAACACACCTGGTGGTGTTGATAACCCGCTAACACGTCTATATCTCACTTTCATTGGTCAAATTTATGAAGAGTGCAGTCTGTGGAATCTGGGTTGCATTCGTTATCTGTTTCCGTACATAATTGAATGGCTTCATATTAGAGGTAATTTATACCTACGATTATACTGACAAATTGGGGTGTGCGATAGACTTACCTCCACGTGGTGCATCCTGGGCAACGTATACAGATACGGCAAAAAAGTCTATTAATCGGCAGTTGACTTCTCACTTCAAACTACCATCACCCCACTGTATGTCATATCCCCCCACTTTCACAGTACTCACCTCACCTTTGTCTCTTTTACATCTTTGAATCTCTCTTCTGTTCCCTCCCCNTCAAATGGCAGGCGTCTTGATGGTTATCACTAGCCCATTAGTTGACTTCAGGCTTTGCAGGAACATCAAAGTGAAAAAAAGACGAGTTGATTGGGGGGAACGGAACAGTGTTTCAGAGATGTAAAAGAGGCAGACACAAAGGTAGAGTGAAAAAGGTGAGATGAGAACTGTGGAAGTAGTGGAATATGACATAGAGTGGTGTCATGGTAGTTTGAAGTCAGAAGTCAACTGCCGGTTAATAGACTAAAATTGACCAAAATAAATTCTTCACAGTTTACTTTTCAGACGCATATTCTCAATAAATTACCTTTTTTTCTCTCTTCCAAACTGCCTATTTAGTGAAATAAGTTCACCTTGTACGCACTTTGTCACTGCGCACATGAACTTTTTGTTGGTTTTGAACATGAACTTTTCTTATTGGCGTCCAAAGAAGAAGAAAAGGCGCTTCGACGCATATGCCTACGCGCACAAGTGACCACTTTTCGCTCAAGAATTTAGCGGCGGCATTTTGATGAAAGGAATGTCACTAGTGGATTCCTGCTCTCATTTTAATTCTCACTCGTTAGCCAACTCGCCCGATATTGTTGAAGTCAAAGACGCCTGCGTTGGGAGTGAGAACAAGGTGAATGAAGACGACTTCAAAAGAACTATACTTCTAGACCAATGGCGAAAACGCCTAAGGGCGAAGGATTTTGTCGATCAACTGCTGGAGAAGGAGGAGGAGAGGATGTGTCACAAGGATGTCACTGGATGTGCATATTACCAGCCTCAAATGCAAATGCAATTTGGACCAAGGGTTGAAAATGGCCTAATGATGGAAAATCAATTTTGCTATAATCGTAGAGGCAACGCATCGGGCAATTTTCAGGCCTCCAATACCCTCTCCGCCTCGACACCTACTTTGTCAACTTCAGCAAATTCGTATTCCACGCCATATAATGCCTCCCCCAATTGGAATGTGAATTTTAATCCCAACTTAAATTGGGCTAACCATTTTCCACAAAGCTAATCGTAATTTTCAATAAACGCTTTTAATATACATACGTATATATATATAGTCGTATATATATGTGCATTTTCTTTAAAATCTATTTACGAATTTGACAATATATTTTGAAAAAAAATTTTATTCGTAATGAAATGGTAAACTTAATTGAGTAGAGAATGGCAAGGGAGTGAAACATCATTTATAGTGAGTTAATTTTCATTAAATCGTTATCCAGTGTTTTGCTAGATGAAATTTACAATTAAACTGGCATTTTCCTGCTAACTAACCCCCCCCCCCAAATCTCCGCCCCTCCTACCCGTCTGTCGTGAACTTAATACCTTACTCTGTACTATTGCACAAGCTTTGGGGACTTTATAAGGTCTATCTACTTCTAAGTCCATTTTAACAAACGTCTCCATCAAACAAACAATCTCATATACTACTGAGGAGGATAATACGACAAAATTTGGAAATTTTTACAAAACTCCAGTTGTTTGAAAGGAGGGAGGAAGGGAGAGAGGGGGTGGAGGGGGGTGGGGTATTGTGGGCTCTTCGGTTAGGTCCTAGAGCCTTCAGGACAGGTGGGTGAAAACTGATGAAGGAGTTGGTCTTTGGTGTCCAACATGTTCTTAATCTCGTCTCAAGTTAAAAGTACAGTGGTGGTGGTGGTACCACATTCAATTATAACACAAGAATAAATCTGTTTTGGCCTCAGAGAGAGAGAGTGAAAGAGAGTGAGATGTAACTACCTTAGATGATTTATTTAGTTTTTTTGACATATAAGAGAGAAGATTTAAACATTTCTGTGTCAGATTGTTTTACGTCGTGAGAAATACCCCAAAATAGAAAAGCCAGAATGAATGAAAGAACCCTTCAAAAAACGCGAACTTTAAGGTTGTCGGGCCTACACAAATGCCTTTCTTCTCCAATTTTACTAGGTTCAACTTTCCTGATTCAGGGGTGTGTGATAGACTTACCTCCACGTGGTGCACCCTGGGCAACGCATACTCATACGGTAAAAAAGTCTATTACTTGGCAGTTGACTTCAAACTACCATGACCCCACTGTATGTCATATTCGACTACTTTCACAGTACTCATCCCACCTTTTTTCCACCTTATCTACCTTCGTCTTTGATACACTCTTCTGTCCCCCCCCCCNCGAATTTTTCTCACTTTGATGTCCCTTCCCCTCTGTGAAGCCTGAAGTCAACTAAAGGGGTAATGATAACCATCAAAACGCCTGCTGTTTGATGTAAATAAATTAATTTTTATTATCGAAACTGAGCAGGAATTTTCCTCACCTTACACCTTCAAGTAAGCCTTTGCAAATCAAGGTTTGACGTGAGTGCAGGTCGAGATATTCTGCTCTAGGCGCCAGGATCCACAAGGTTCCTCGTGTCACTCCAACATCGGCAAGTTTGAGACCGTGTAAACTGCTTATTATCCCGTTAGATCATTCTGTAGGTGCGTTAAACATTCATTTCTGCATCTACATTCCAACTAATAGTTGAATTTAACCCTTTAACGCCCTGCAGGATTGTATGGTCCTCTTTCGAAATAGCTTCCATTGGTACTAGACTTCTAACTGGAGGCATTACTGCCCTTTGAAACATATTCAATACATGTCTATGCAGCCTTCGCCTGATACCACTAAACACTTCACGTTGGAGGCAACAGCCTGCTCCGAGACACGTGTGAGTGCGATTGGGTACGTTTTTCAAAAAAAATTAATAATTCGGCAGTTAAATAGTCAAACATTAGGGAAAAATAAATGCTGGATACTTTCCAACAAAGTAATATTTGAAAAGAAACTATTGACTGTGTATAATATCATTTATTGACCGTACCGAGGGTGGGGACGGAACGATAGAATTTATAGCTGTTGCATTCCAGTGCACATTGTGGAGCTATTTCTGTCAGACTTTACGATCCTCTTTGCCGTATTTTGACATTCTTTCGAGCTTTGGCATTTGATGTTTTGGTTCTGAAAGTTACAGTAATAGCACTAGCGGCCTTGAATTTGGAATAATTATTTGGAGGACACTTCCGGCAGTGCTAAAATAATTAAGAAAAGTAACAATGTTTTCTTGGTATTTTGTTTTCATTTTTTTAAGAAGATTCACTAGTGTTCGATAATAGCGATCGATAAACATTTGCAGCAATCCAGAAAACAAATCTTGAACTTTTTTTAATTTTGGGGGCTGTGCGATAGACTTACCTCCACGTGGTACACCCTGGGCAACATATATTCATACGGAAAAAGTCTATTAACTGGCAGTTGACTTCTCACTTCAAACTACCATTACCCCACTGTATGTCATATTCAACTACTACCACAGTACTCACCTCACCTTTGTTCTACCTTTGTGTCTGTCTCTTACATCTTTGAAACACTCTTCTGTTCCCCCCCCCCCTTCGATTTTTTTCAATTTGATGTTCCTTCCCCTCTGTGAAGCCTGAAGTCAACTAAATGGCTAATGATAAATATTATAAAGCCTGCCATTTGATATAAATAAATAAATGTATTTTTTAATTTTGGAACTTAAACTATCTACTTTTAGTGCAATTGTGCAACCGAGTCCAAAGGTCAAATGAGGTCACTCTCTGCAATTCTTTCGGTTACCTTCCCTTTATCATTTTTTCCAATGACAGTCGCTTCAGCAATTCAAATTTTCACATTTTTGTGGTATTACTGCGATTAATACATACCTGTGTCTAAATTACTATCAAATGGCTATTTTGGAATAATTAAAGAATCAACTTATCAAATCTCGACTAAGAATCGACAAACGTTGACGTATGATGCATGATGAATCCTCTCTAACTCCACAATTCGTCCTTTATTGGACTATATCAGTGCTCCCAGTGTGTAGATACTCTCCAGAGATTGGAAAAGTGCATATTTGGCCAATATTCGGAAGACACCAAGTTCCACAAATTGGCAAACTAACTCTGCGTCTTCCTCAACTGTTGTAGGGGGTGTTTTTTTCCGGTTGGTGCATGGCCTTATTCCAATGGACACTTATTTGAGGACCAGGGCGTTCATTTGACGTGGCCATTTTTTTCTTTTTCGGACCACAAGCCAAGCATGATGGAAGATGATTGTTAAGTGAAGCCTCGTGATCAGAGCAATTATGTTAAAGACGAGGGGGATAGAAATTATGATAATGAAGTGGGTAAACACATGTGATGCAGTCATATGTTCTGCCCAATCATTTCATTTTCTCCTCACCAATTGTTAACTCAACCACATATTAAGAGTGATAATCATCTACCAGTTCCGCATGTGACTTTATCTCCTCCCCCTCCCCCCCATTCCCCCC